CCCAGGACGTCACGTTTGACGAGTCGGTTCCGTACTACCGTCTCTTCCCCTACCGCGCTGCCCCCCTTCCCCCCCCGCCGCTCTTCCTTACGCCAGGTCCCCCCCCGGTAGACCCCCTCCCCCCTCAGGGTCTTGCTCCTTCAGGTGTGTCTCAGGTAGACCCCCCCCCCTTGGCTGAGCCTTTGGAGGTCACTTCCGACACCTCTGGCTCACCTGAGGGGGGTGACGTTGCTGCTGACGCCCCGGCGGCCTACCGCCGCGCACCACGCTTGGAGACCCCTCCGGGGTTCCCTCCGCGACCTTCTTCGCCGCCTCTGCAATCGGTTCCTGTTGACTCTGGTGCTGTTGGGGGTGGTGCTCCCGAAGGTGCTGCGTCTGGGGGTGCGGAGTCTGGGGGTGCTGAGCCTGCGTGTGAGGAGACTGGTGTTCCTGCGCCTGGGGGTGCTGTGTCTGGGGGTGCTGAGCCTGTGTGTGCGGAGTCTGGGGGTGCTGAGTCTGGAGGTGAGACGCTTGAGGGTACTGGGACTGCTGGTGCGCGGCCTACTTGGAGTGGCCGCCTTCGTCCGCGTGTGCCTCTCACCACTCAGCAGCTGCACGACTGGTACGGTCGAAGTCAGCGTCGCGCTGCTGGAGCTCGGGGCTCTGCTGCTGGAGGTACTGGAGCTGTTGGGGCTGGGGGTGCTGCGCCTGGAGGTGCCGTTGCTGGAGACACTGAGGCTGGCGACCCTGGGACTGGAGGTGCTGGTTTTGGGGGTGCTACTGCGGGAGACTTTGCGGCTGGAGACCCTGGGGCTGGAGGTGCCGGTTCTGGGGGTGCTGCTGCTGGTGACGCTGGTTCTGGTAGTACTGGCGCTGGAGGTACCGGTTCTGAGGCTGGAGCTACGGGAGCTGCTGGGGGCACTGGAGCTGCTGGCGTTACTGGAGGCACTGGAGCTACTGGAGTTACTGGAGCCGCTGGAGGCGCTGGAGCTGCTGGAGCTGCCGGTGCTGGTGCAGCTGCGCCGACACGACTGTTCTTCGCTCCGCCGTCTCCGTCGTCTCTGCCGCAGCCTGACTCTGTTCTTCGTCAGGTTCTTACTCTCCCGTCGTCTACTGGTCTTCCGTTACAGACTGGCTCACCGCTGCCTGCTCCCTCTCCTTACACTGAGCAGGCAGGTAGTCCTGCTGAGCGTCGTGAGCCTGCGTCGTGTCCTGTCTCGCCTGTTCGTCCTGGTCGTACCGGTCGTCGTGTCGCTCGTGCGCGTCAGCCGGCTGTCCCCAGCGCACACCTTGTTGTCCGTCGTCCTTCCTCTGCTCCGCAGTCTGCTCCTCTGCCTTCCCCCCCTGCGTCCTCTCTGCCTACCGTGCCAGACCCTGCGTCTGACCGGTTTCGTGCTGAGCACCCTACTGTTACGCGTCTGTTAGCCACTGTTGTCACTGACCCGTCGTTTGAGTCTACTGTTGCGTCTGCCTTGGTTGCTGAGCTTGTTGACTTTGCTGCTGCATGTCGTCTAGACTACGCCGCTAGTCTTGTTGCTGAGTCTGAGTCTGTCTGTCCTCCGTCTGTCGGGGGTGAGTGTGCTCTTAGCACGGACGTCCTTGAGGACAGGCAGGAGGAGTTCCAGTGTCTTGCTGCTGCTTTACCTCATCTTGTGTCCTCGCTGCTTGCCCCTGAGGGAGACCCGGATGCACCAGACATCCCGATTCTGCGCTCTTACGCGGAGGCGATAGAGGGTCCCTACTCCTCTCAGTGGCAGACAGCCATGGACGCAGAGATGGCTTCCTGGAAGTCCACAGGCACCTACGTTGATGAGGTTCCCCCACCTGGGGCGAACATCGTCAGTGGCATGTGGATTTTCAGGGTGAAGCGGCCGCCGGGTTCTCCGCCTGTCTTCAAGGCGCGTTACGTGGCTCGAGGCTTCAGTCAGCGGCAGGGAGTTGACTACTTTCAGACCTTCTCTCCCACCCCGAAGATGACCACTCTTCAGGTGCTGCTGCACATAGCCGCTCACCGTGACTACGAGCTTCACTCTCTTGACTTCAGCACAGCTTTCCTACAGGGCAGCCTGCACGAGGAGATCTGGCTGCGCCGCCCACCTGGCTTCACTGGGTCGTTTCCTCCTGGTACCCAGTGGAGCCTCCGGCGGCTAGTCTACGGTCTCCGCCAGGCGCCCCGTGAGTGGCACGACACACTGAGGACTACGCTTGCGGCTCTTGGGTTTGCTCCTTCTACTGCAGACCCGTCGCTGTTTCTACGCACCGACACCTCTTTGCCGCCGTTCTACATCCTCGTGTACGTCGACGACTTGGTCTTTGCTATTGCTGACACTGCTGGACTCGCCTACGTGAAGTCCGAGCTGCAGAAGCGACACACGTGCACAGACCTGGGTGAACTGCGCAGCTATCTTGGCTTGCAGATCACCCGGGACAGAGCACGGCGCACCATTACCCTGACTCAGTCACACATGGTGCAGCAGGTCCTTCAGCGCTTCGACTTCACGTACTCCTCGCCTCAGGCCACTCCTCTGTCTACTCGCCACTCGCTCTCAGCTCTGCCTTCGGATGAGTCCGTAGAGCCGAGTGGCCCGTACCCAGAGCTTGTTGGCTGCCTCATGTACCTGATGACCTGCACGCGACCTGACCTTGCATACCCTCTTAGCATCTTGGCACGCTATGTTGCTCCTGGGAGACACCGACCAGAGCACATGGCTGCAGCGAAGAGGGTGTTGCGCTACTTGTGCAGTACGTCAGGCATGGGGCTAGTGCTTGGAGGGCAGAGTCCAGTGGTCCTCACTGGTCACGCAGACGCGTCTTGGGTTGACGACCTGGCTACGCAGCGGTCGTCACAGGGTTACACCTTCAGCCTTGGTTCCGGCTCTGTTTCGTGGCGGTCTACCCGCTCGTCGTCTGTTCTCAGCTCTAGCTGTGAGGCTGAGATCTACGCAGGAGCCATGGCTGCACAGGAGTTACGCTGGCTCACCTACCTGCTGACTGACCTGGGAGAGCCGCCTCGTTCTCCTCCAGTTCTGTACGTAGACAACAAGGCCATGCTGGCCTTGTGTCGGGAGCACAGACTGGAGCACAGAACAAAGCACATCGCTCTTCGCTACTTCCTTGCTCGTGAGCTGCAGCAGCGTGGTCAGCTGTGCCTTGCTTACGTGGCCACTCGGGCCAACACTGCTGATATCTTCACCAAGGCACTTCCGCCTTGTGATCATCAGCGCTTCTGTACGATGCTAGGTCTCGTGCCCACTTGGCCTCACTTGCTCACTTCTTGACCTTGCTTGTACTGTGACTTATATATATACCTGCATGATTACACCTGCTAGGTTGTGATCACTGTATTGCTTGTGCTTTTATAACTCTGCATGTGAACTGGCCTTGTGGCCTCTTGCTTGTGCTCAGTGTGTGTGGTGACTTTGTGATCCACCCTGAGCTGTGTTTTTGTCTCTTGACTGGTCTTGTGACCATTGCTTGCTCTGGCTATCCCCCATCTTGCCTATGGGGGTGTGTCAAAACATATGCATGTTGCTATCTAGGCTATATTGGGGCTAGCCTTAGGGGGTACAGAAATCATCTCGACACTTTTGCTATGTACCCCAACCATGACCTAATTCAAATCATTCTCCACATGCTGATGCGGCATGAAGCTGACGGAACCGCGTTGGGGTTCGTACGAAGCAATGGTAGGCTGCTGCTGCTGATTTCCTCGCACGTAGGATGAACCATCGAGGCTCATCAGTGTAACGTCTTTGTTGTTGCTGTTGTTTGATTGCGCAGGTGCAGTTTGCTGATGCTGTTCGTAGAAGGACATGAAGGAGAAGAACTTCTCCATCATGCTTGGGTCGAAGCCTGCAGCTAGATTTGCAAGAGTTTCGGTAGACCCTGCTGCTGGTCTTGTTGCCGTACCCTCCTCTGTCTGTAGGCCAGAGGCAGGAGGTGGAGTAGGAGTAGTGCCGGGAGAACCATTAGAGGAGCTTCTCTCCTTCTGAGTAGCCATGCCTTCTGATGTTGTAGGTGTCTTGGAAGTAGTTGAGTTTGCCTTGATAGCTCTCATACCATGTTGGGCTGAAAAACCTCTTAGGATCTTTGCAGGACTGAACTCTGAGTAGGACTTAATTGCGGAAGCGTTTAATGAGGATATTGAACCACCTTGCGCTAGTATGTTTGGGCAAAGTAGATTGATTAAAACAAAGAGATACAAGCTTTATAAGAGTACAAGGAATATGAAGAGATATAGCTAATAACCATTTTACTGTTGCTGTTGTGGTTCGACACAATGACGACTTGGGCAACTGCTCAATAGCGAGTCAGTTGTTTGTCCTTGCTGTCGCATTGTATTTGTGGAGTCAAAGGTCAGCGACTTTTGACTGTCGCGTAACCTCCGGCCGTTACATTTCTGTCAACCTCCTCGGTTGGCTCACCGATGCTTCGCTTGTAGTTTGATTCGATTACGATTCGGTGTTGCGGCACATCAGAAGCGCTTTAAATCATTTGTTTCCAACAAGGCTCTGAGGGGCGGCTTACCCCCCCTCAGTGAGTGGGTATGAGGTGAGTGTGTGGGGGTTTAAACTCCCCCCACTCGGCTGGACTTGAGAAGAGGCTGAGGGGAGGCTTACCCTCCCTCAGTGAGTGGGTATGAGGTGAGTGTGAGGTTGATACCTTTGGGGAATGCTGTTCGTATAGCCTTTAGGTTATTCCAACAACGTTCACCCAAGTCCCCGGGGCTCTATTTACGGGGAATCACTGTAACAAATGGCGAGCCCTCGCAAGAACCTCTACAACTAACGACAGGGTTCATGGGTAATGCACCCACGGGACTTGCACACAAAACTACCGTAGAGTATGCAAAAAAGGTGTACTACATATTCCTGTAAAAGCTTAGAACAGTTCAGCACAAGCATGTTTAGGATATGATGCACATAGTATTAGTGAAGTACAAAAACGGTTAGACATATGGGTATTCCAACAGTATGACATACCAACGGTGTTTTAGTGACCTTAAACGTTAGCACTTTAGCTCATGGTAAGCACAGCTGCATGCCCTCCCACAACGATGACGTGGTACAGTCATACCCTCCATTGAGTGACCGGAAGAGGGTCACTTTCCGTTTGTATCGAGTCGCAATCACCTTGGCGCATGTGTCTCCTGTTTTCACGAGGTAGAACCAACGAGTCTGACACTGCAATCCTCCGGAACCCAGCACCTCTTCCACTAGTAAACACACCTGGTGTGTGCAAGGGGCCAAATCCCAGGATAGCTTGCAATCAGCATGCGATGCGCACCGTGTGAGGGCAATGTCAGGAAGTTGCTGGCAGCAATCTAGCCTTGAGCCTATCAGTAAAAGAAGCCCCAAATTGTGACATCAACACCAAAACCATCACCAAAGAGCAGTGATCACTGACAAGGTCAAGCTGGGCCTGGCAGTTTGCGCCTTGCAAGGCCCATGCCAGTCCTGATAAGAGAACAGCATGGATGGCTCTAAAAGGCAAGCACAGGCTGCATGCACACATGGAGTTAGCACCCACTGTCTGGAGAGAACAGGAGGTTCAACCAACAGCTCCGGGTGGTGGAAAGAGAGAGCCAGGAAGATAAGAAAACTGCTTGAAACGGCTTGAAATTGCTCACTGCGAACCTCCGCATGCATTTCAAGAGCTCTCACCGAGTCGAGAACAGAGTCGGCCCACCCAGCTGCACCGAGCAGCAGGTGGTCGCAGTAGAGAGCAGGGTTAATGCGGAACGTCTTTGAGTAGCTCATGAGGTTCCACCCGATGCTGAACGCGGCGACCTGCTGGCACGTGTGCAGGCTCGGCTGGAGCGCCTTGCGATCCTTGCAGCCCGCCACGGGGAAGGTGGGGGTGTTGCTGTAGTTCTCAACGCACATGCGCTGCAGGGAGGACGGGGATGCATGGGGGGAGGGGGAGGGGCAGGAGCTTGAATGAACAAGAGATGCTTTCGCTGAAGCACAAGGTATCCCTTTAACAGTCATCTGTATCGCAGCTTGAATGCCTAAGGCACCTAAACAATGTATCATGATTAACTACCAAGGTGACATAGGCACGTAAGGACGCTAGCCACCCTATTTTGAGGCAAACTAGGCTTTGCCAACCTAGCATAAAAGCACCTTCATCTTTTGACCATTTGAGGAAAAAGGCAGGAAAACTATCTGCTGGAGTATGTGGTGTATATAAACACATCAATGGTAGCTTCTACAAAAGCGTCCAAACTAAAGAGCAAAGAGCCCAGAAAAAAAATAAATTAAAAAAAAAAAAACAAAAAAAAAAAAGGTATTGGGAAAGGAAGGGATTGGAGCGCGATTTGGTGCGATCTGACCTTTCCAGGTACAAGAGGTTGCGAGCAGTCAATGTTACGGTTAAGATCTGTAATGTTGGTCTCAAGGATGCTGTTGATTGACGTGCATGTGTCACCCTGGGGTGGGTGGGAGGGGGGTAATCGATGGGTGTGTGTGAGCATGAATAGGGATGAATTCAGTGTTGTGATTCCGGTTTGATGCTATGAGCTTTGTGACATCTGTCACACTGGTGTGTGTCAGGAGGGAGGGAGAGCAGGAAGAAAAAGGAGGCAGGGAGACGAGAGGAGAGGAGCGAGTGAGCAGACATTGGAACGATTGAAGGCTGATTGATTCCGAAGGACGTGTTGATTGAAGTGTCTGTGTCTGCGGAGTGTGTGTGGGGGCAGAGAAACGCAGAGGGGCAGGACATGCGCCAGAGGGGCAGAAGGACATGCGCCAGAGGGGCAGAAGGACATGCGCAGGAGTGTGTAAGAGCAAGAGCAAAGGCTACTTGTTCTCAGAAGGTACTGCCAATCATTTTGAATAACAAGGGTGAGAAAGGCTATTGGCCAGCAATCGACTGTGCCTCACCTAGTCGTCCCACCGTGCCTCACCAGGTTGGTGGTGCACATGCTTGAGAAATGGGCTCACCAGAAGCACCTATCCGTGCCTCACCTGGTTGGTAGTATACATGCTGGTGCAGGTCTTATTGGCAGATGCCGACACGTTGACTACCAAGCCACGAGGTATGGGCTTGTCACATGCCATGCCCTGTCAAGGAATCCATAAAAAAAGAACAGCACAACATTACAACGTTGATTTAACTGGTGATTGTTGAAGGAGCAATACTGTCTCTGCCAGCACGTGCCATCTGCAGCAAGCCCAGCTACCGACGTCGAATTCAGAAACCTGGACCAGATTGCCATTCTGGTCCAGGTTTTTTTTTTTATTCACACGATAAATACTTACACTCAACTCGGCCGATTTTTATCGGGAAAAAAAAACAAACAAACACGTAACTCAGGTCTAGCCGGGCCGGAACTCGAGTCGGGTAAAAATTCGACTCGCATGCCATGTGTGAGTGAGGGGTGTTTATCAACACACCTGACCTCATCAGCACGCCTCACCTGGTTGCTGTCCAGCAGCTCTTGAGGTGAGAGGTCAAAGACGTCGAGCAGCAGAGGGCATGTGAGGCCGGGGGGTGCTGGGAAGAACGGCACTCGAGTGGCAAACTCACCCACTGGTGGACAGAGGGCAGAAGAGGGAGAAGGGGGGAAGGGGGATAAGGGGGAAAAGGGAGAGAGGAGAGAGAGGCATGGGGGGCGGAAGTGGAGAGGCACAGAGCTGAAAGCGGCAGCATAAAAACGGGGGTAGGGGGGGGGGGGGGAGAGTAGAAACGTTGCCGGCAAAACAGGTGGAGGGAAGTCGCATAAAGTGAGCGGCGGCAAGAAGGACGGTAAAGTGATGGGCTCCCTGGCATATGGCTGCCTGGCTGTTTTGGCGTGCCTGGCTGTTTTGGTGTGCCCGGCTGTAAGCTAGATTACAAGGTGGAGTGAGAAGAAAGAATCTCAGGGTTAACAGGATGGGCGACTAGAAGCAGGATACGCCACCTCACCTGGATCAAAGAACTTAGAAAGACTTACCTTGGTTACAGGACCGCTTCAGGGAGTTAGAGAGTAGTCGAAGAAACTGAATCAACGCACACGAGGCCCTCTTGTGCAGTCAAAGTACAGGTGTGCAGAAGAGATCAAATCAACGAAGGATCTCGCACCTCTTATCAGAGTTACAGGGTGTCCTTGCGAGGCGAGTCAGTTTACAAGCAAAATGGGCCATTTACTGCTGCAAGCAAAATGGGCCATTTACTGCTGCAAGCAAAACGGGCCATTTACTGCTGCAAGCAAAACGGGCCACTTGTTGCTGCACGCAACCATCAGAACACATGTCATATCAGCAGCACAGGTGCGCAAAAGACAGCAGGCGATGAGAATCGTCCTCGCCTCAGGTGTTTTCAAGTGAATTTAATATTTATTTAGATAAAAGCTAGGTTAAAGAATAATTCTATGAAGATGAAGTCAGGGTTAACAAACCGGACGGGCGAAAAGCAGGTCAGATGGTTGCTTCGAGCAGTTCAAGTGATTCAGCTGAGTTACAAGGTAACCTTGGGAAGAAGTTAGTCTACCTTGGTTACAGGGTTGCTTGAGGGGGTAAGAGTAGTCGATGGGGAAGAAGGAGGGCGGGCAGAGGCAGAAGGAGGTGGCATCATAGCCCTCCAGGCACACGCCAGGCGCACAGGTATCAGTGCTGTTAAGACGACATGCGGGGAATTCTGGACGGACATTGAAAAGGTGGAGAGGAATTAAGAGAGGTTAGAGTCGATGAGATGGCAAGTGGGACGGGAGGGAACTACAGAGAGAAGAGAACCACAGTGAATGGGGTGGAAGGTGATGAGGTGGTAAGTGGGGAGTGAGGAGGTTAGCAGCGTGTCCACTTAGCTGGTGAAAGCGGAGGTAAGAATGAATGTGCCGGTCGATTGATTGTGCTGTGCTGTGAAAGTTGAAGAGTTATGGATGTGGCAACATTGGAGGGACAGTTGCAGCTGCAATGGCAGAAATGGGAGGGCACGGGATCGTATTGATTTGACAAAATCCTAGTCAGGATTTACTCTTGTCATTACCGTTGTGCACTACGCGGTGGCACTTGTCTCGGCTTACCATTGAAGCACGTTTGGAAGGCCGGCATTTGGGGGAGCTTGTAGCTGGGCTGGCTGAGAGGGCACGAGCACGTGCTGGTGTATGTGCCTGTGGCTGCTGACCGCACCGCACTGCACCTGCCAGCACCGCATGGATTCACGTCCCATGCCGTGCACGGGTTGACGTCTGTGTGACATGAGGAGTGAGGAGAGACGAGGAGAGGTTGATGGATGAAAGAGGAAAAGGACTGAACAGAGGAGCAAGATGGGTATGAGAACATTATGATTGGAGTGGGATCACTATTTTAGTGAATAAAATGGATACATGGTTTTGTTCCCAGTTAGCGATTCAAAAAAGGCGCAGGCATGTTCAATCATCGGCAATATGTGTACGCTGGGAATCAGCGGAACGCATACGTATAGTAACATATAGTTCGTCCATATACCATATGCCATACACGTTTTTCCAACATAGCATATTCTCACAAATGTGGCACATGGAATATGGAATCTAAGCATGTGTGCATGTGCACACACACAAAGATGTACATATGCATGCATCTACAGACACACACACTTATGCACACACACCTGAGAAATCAAAAGGTCCGCGCATCAATGAACCGTACACATACACAGATGCTCACATTCATACACACACAGACACGTGGCACTCATCCAAACCCTTCACACTCACCTGTGAATCAGAATGTCCACGCTTTGATGGACTGAACACATGTCATGGTCAGGGTCAATGCCGGTAATGGCATCAAACATCACCGCCACACTCCTCCCTCCATCCACCCACGCCCCATTTGCATCCCTTTCTTGCGCATCCCTCCCATACCCAAGATCCTGCCCCCCTTGTCCCAAGCACGAAAACCACCCCAAACCCATTGGTTCGCTTGAGCTCAAACGCAAACCACGAGGTGAAGGACCGGGCCTTGCACACCAGTGCCTCAGGCTTTCCGCCCTTGTTCCTCCCCTTACGGGGGGGAGGAGGGGGGAGGAGAGAGAGCAGGGGAAGGGGGAGGGGGAAGAAAGCAGCGCCTGCCTCCTGGTCGTGGCTGCCCGGGGTGAGTTGCAGCGAGGAGAAGCCGAGACGAGCTGCACCCGAGGCAGTGAAGGGCGCGGCTGGCGTGAGGAAGGGCAAGGAGAGCGACGGTGCCTGCCACACGGGGAGAGGCGCTGGAGCTGGGAGAGGGGGGAGTGGAGTGGATGATTTGGGGGAAAAGAAGCGGGGGCGCAGGGAGCACAAGGGGAAAGTAAGTGAGGAAGGAAACAAATAGAGGAGCGAGAAAGGTTGGAAGCGAATGGGGAGAGGACAGATTAGCGGAGGGTTCTGGTAGTAGGAGAACCACACACTACTTCTGAGACGCCTTGAAAATGGGTAGTAGAACACATGACACGCCACAGCAACCCCATCCCCCCCATTCCACCCTTCCCCCCCTTTCCCCACCCCTCCTCCGCCTCCTTCCCCTCCCACTCACCTCGGGAGTCGACCTGGAAGGCCCAGGAGAGGATGTCGTGAGTCTGAGTATGCAGCGGTAGCAGCCCCGTGCCCGCTGCAAACCCCACATGCACCAACACGGCCTCCCCCTCCCCACCGTCCTCCTTTGGAGCGGAGTGAAAGAGGTCGCAGCAACATCTCTCCGCTGCTCATAGCACCTGCTAGCGCCCTGGCCAGGTCGCCCTCGCCCACGCTGCTGCTGCCACCACCGCTGCCGCTGCCGCTGGTGCCGGAGGTGGCTGGTGGTGCTGGCAGGGGCACGGCGACGATCATTGCTCGCATCGGCCGCAATCCAGAGACAGGAGTCGGATCCAGCATGCACTTGCGTGCCCTTGCATAGAAATACAGCGAAAACTCCCCCTGCTGCTCCTGCTGCTGCTGCTGCTGCTGCTGCTCTCCCCCTTCTACAACACAGAGCAGCTGCCCCAGTCCCTGCACCGGCCACACTGCCCCGTCACTCTCGCTCGCCCCAGTGCCCCAAAGCGCGCCACTGCCGCCACTGCCGTCGCTGGGCTGCAGGCGAACGAACCGACCGCCCTCAGCAGCAACGGACGGGTCCCCGGGCGGAGTCTCCCCTCCCCCTCCGCCTCCCCCGTCCCCCTCCCCCTGCCCCTCCCCCTGTACCCCCTCCGCCACCTGCCCTTGCTGCCCTGCTGCGCTGGGGACGAGCGGCACCCAGGACGACAAGGGCGAGGGCCAGTCTGGTGCCGCGGAAATATCCTCGAAGCCCGCATTGCGCAGGAGGTTCAACGACGGAGCTGGGAGGTGGGGGGAGAGGAGGTGGGAGGGAGGGGGGTGCGGAGGGTGGGGCGGGGAGGAGGGATGGCGTGGGGGGGGGAGATGGAATGAGGGGGAAGTGCTGGTGGGGGGGAAGATGGGGGGGAATTCTAAGGGGACGAGAATATGCGACGACGCATGTACAAACTCCTGCGGAGGGACAATCAACAAACGGAAAGGGAGGGGAGGTGGGCGAATATATCTGTCGGAGGAAGTGGGGAGAAGCAGTTAAGGTGGCTGCGGGGCTGAGAGGCTGGGTGCGAGGCTACCTTTCGAGTTGTGGCAAGATTCAGAGAATACTACCTTGAGCTGCTAGGCTGGCGCATGACGGCACGGCAGCGTTGGCGACGGCGACGAGCGAGACGAAGTGCGCGGTTACCACGACGCGAAGAACGAGGATGAGGCGCTCCCTGATGAAAGAATGAGCTGGCCGACTGGATGCTTGTTTTGGATTTGTGCGAGTAAGGAGGGGCGCAGCAATTGGTTCGTTACAGAGCTCCCCGTCAAGAATAGCGGATTGGTTCGCCTGTGGCATGGAGAGAAGTGCCGAGAGCGGGCCGCGATTGCGAGGAGGGGCGAAACTTGCGGCGGAGACGGCAGCATCGCACGGCGACAGGAGAGAATGGTATTAGCTTCCGCGGTTTCGAAAGGAATCTTCATTCCTGTCCTGTATTTATCTTACCACCGTAACAGCCAGGGCAAACTTGACAAACTTGACAAACTTGACTCGAGGTCAAACCTGCTTTGGAATGAATTCAGCTCGAACCCTAACCACACCGCACCGCGCGTTTATCTAACAAAAACGCACTAAATTGCTTTGCACCTCTCTGGTCCTCGGAATCTGGGCCTTGTTCGACCCGTTTGTCATAAATCACTGGTCGACAGCTGTATGCACTGTGATTGTGGGAGGGATATGCTCGTGGTGGCCTGACGCGGCGGTTAGGGCGTGTCCCGAAAGTTTGTAAGCAGTTTCGGGATCCGGTTTTACGTAAAACAACACGTACGGCTGCGCGGTATACACACGTTCCAGGTACGTACACATCACTGCGAACAGCGTCCGAATTCCAAAAGGCTGACAGGGCCTCGAGATTTTACAGTACCGCGACTTGTACAGCTAAATCTCGCCCTGTTACCAGGTCCTCCTTGCCGCGAAAAAAGTCACCACCCCAACAGATTCTCGGCCCTCTAGCCAATGGACCAAATTGACTGTCGCAAAGGAATTTGCGACAGCAGGGCGCGTTCGCCTAAGGGATTGCATCAAACCTCGCTTTCTGTTCTGTTTCAGGTGGTCTTTCTCGATGTCTGTACAGTACGCAGTCCAAGTTGAGCATTGCGTCAGTTATTTTGTGCAGTCAGGTTCCGTGTCCAGACGAAAGAAATGGCGAGTGGCGAAAAGCAAAATTGTGGTTATTTTTCCCTTTTGAAATGTAAATGTACTTTTGGGACACGCCCTGAGGTGCACAGCTGCAAACAAGGAAAGGAAGGAGAGGGGAGGAGGGAACGGAGGGCGAAAGGGCAGAAAGCAGCCGAAAGGGTTCGTCCATGCGAATGTTGCGCAAGATTGTTGGAGTTGGGTTCGGTTCTGTTGGAACGGAGATGGGAAAAATGAGGCGACCTGCGGCTCTGTGTTCCAAACAGGACGCGAGGAAAAATCACTAAACCAGACGGTTTTCAATTTTGTCAAATCGGTCGACCACTCGTGCTCCACGTCAGCACTATTTCGAATTCCAAAACTCCGATCGACCCTACATAATCTTACGCGGCATGTACAATTGTTTATCGGTTGGTGTTGAGTGTGTCACCACAGGTACGTAACTTTGTCAGAGATGGTTTAGGTTATTCCTCTTTAACGTCCCGCATGATTTTGTTTTTGTCGTGGTGCAGGTCTGCACAGTACGTACGATGGTGTCGAGCAGGTCGAGTTTAGAGATTGCGATTTGGTCCGATTTGGTCCTTCCACAGCGCGGGAAAAAAGGCCAGCGCTACCTACTGAGTCAGCATTCTGACCGCGGGCAAGAAAAATAAACCCATGGCTTACGACATGCCATTTGGGAGCCTCAACCCTAAAATTTAAGGGTTGAGGCTCCCTCAGATGGCATGCCATCCGAGTGGGTTTTAGTTTTTTCTTGCCCGCGGTCAGCTTGCTGACTCGATTGCACTGCCTGCTTACGCAGGCAGTGCAATATATTACCCAAAACGCGACAGACTCTACCACCCACATACCTACGAAATTCGAAAAACCCTAACGCAGAAGTCATACTTGCGTCAGAGTGACCAAATCGTGCCTGAAAGTGTAGAAATTGGGTCGGTCGATTGGAGTTTTTGAATTTGAAATAGCGCTGACGTGGAGCACGAGTGGTCGACCGATTTGACACAAAATTGAAAACCGTCTGGTTTAGTGATTTTTCCAGGACGCGAACACGAATCTGGAATTTGGTTTGGCTTGGTTGGCCATGTGCTGCTGTGCCTCTCCACCCCTCCGCACCGATAAGCTGCGCTGTGTCATTCCAGACCAGTCCACATGCTGCCTGCCAGGCTGGCGTGTTGCCATTCTAGAAGGTCAACGCCCATGTTTCAAGTTTTGAACATTTTCAGGGGCTCGCTACCGGAACAGATCGGTACAGTGTACAAGCGTCTAACGTCTTTTTTTCACGTACAGTGCATATTACCTTCACTACACACGAAGTCTGGCCAGTTCAACATTCTTGTGAAATACCATGTTTCTGTCAATTGAGAAAGCTTGCTTTCTGTTCTTGCAAAGGCAACGGGCTTCAATACAAGTGCAGTAATACAACATTATCGTCCAACTAAGGATTAAACAAAGATACAACTAGGGCGGGTGGGTGGGAAGTGGAACTGCAAGTTCCGAAATGAAGTCGTGGGTGGAGGCCGAATGGCCT